ATAAGGTCACAGAGACATACTACCTTGGCAGTAGGTTTGTTTCTGTTTTCTGAGTAATTTGACTTCTCCAGCACTGTCCAGTGGCCTGTTTGAGATTTGTTCATTTGTTTGGTTTTCATACTATTAGGAATGGCAAGGAAGCCAAGTTTTCTAGGTAAGGAAAGTTTACAACCCTTCACAGACAAGTGACTATCATTATTTAATCACCCCAAAACATTGAATTACACACTAACAGAAGACATCTTTTTTCCCTTCAAACAGGTTACTCTGTAAATTGTGATTCAAGATACTATGAACTTTATTTTCCTATCTAGTTTCACTTAAGTAACTATAGGTTTGTGGCCTACTATTTACCAGCAGGGAGGTCTGGTAGCCTGGTGGGTAAGAAGTTGTGCTGTCAACTCAAAGGTGGACAGTTCGGATCCACCAACTGCTCCGTGTGAAAAGGGACAGACTAGACAACCTCTTCTCAGGAGATTTACAGCCTCTGAAAACTCACTGGACGGTTAGCTGAGTCTCTTTTGAGTACAACTTGGATTTCTTTTCTGAACAGTTCATATGAGTACGTGTGGTTGAAATCGTTTACATTCCATACACGTAGGAGAATAATCATAGGAAAGGCACACAAATATGGGTTCTACTTTTTGTCCACACCATAAATAGTTAATATTAATTTCACTAAAATTTCAGGACTTATTTAACCATTAAGGAAACGTCTATGTCCTTCCATACAATCTTACATAAAAAAGAAAAAGAGACTAAATACAAACTAACTTAAGACATTATTCAAACTTTTAATGTATCAATTTATTGCATGTCAGTACAGAAAAATAGAAAGTATATTTTTAAATAAATTTATTTAAAAAAACCAAATGTAAATGTCTCCTTGCCATGGTTAGCACATAATTTACTAGAACATTTATATTTGATTTATAAAATCATTACTGCTTCAAATAAAGTATGGCAAATAAAAATATGGTTTCTTGAAATTGAATTACTTTAACCCTGGACATACTTGAAAATGTTGAATTTTCAGTATACGCTGTACTGACAGAAATTATAAATTGTTAACGCAAACTCATCCCAGTTACATATGTGTATATGGCACTTTAGTTAAAAAAAAGTGTGTTATACATAATTCTATTTTGAAATCTAATTTTTTCTATATAAAATATAAATGGAGGTATATCTGTGCCATTTGGCAAAACGTCTTCACTACTAATTAGGATGATTGCATTTATTTCACCAGTTTATTATTTCTGATTAGCTAAAATGTTGATGTATGTATATGTTTTTATATGGCAATATGAATAAACCCAAGTATTTTATATCATTATTTAAAAAATAGATGTCTGTGCTCTGTCATTTCCAACTTTACCTGAGTGATATGAAACTACCTAAGTGATTAAATCTGAAAGTATTATTTATGACTAATCTTTTTTTTAAAACAACTGTGAAACATACTACATAAAATAGCAATCAGTGGAAGACTTCAATATATGTCAGTCATGTTGTTAATGGCAAAATGATGTCATTCTTAGAATTTTATACTTTTAACCTTAAAGATGGAAAGGGACTCACAAATACAACTTGTTCAAGCTGTCAGAGCTTACAAAATAAATTATGTACAGCTAAGACCATCTTTGTTTAAATTCACCAAATAAACCCATTTTCATGTCATACTAAATTTTACAAGAAATGTCTACATTAATATGAGTCTAAACATTACAGTACCAAAATGTAATCACTCTAAGTGAAAAATCCCTACAGCTGAAATGTGTGTAATTATCAAATGTCTACAGCTTTTTATGATAAAATAAGTTTAAGCTGTTTTGTAAACAAAATTGTTAGTGGCCATCAAGTTTGACTGTAACTCATCGAGAGCCATGTGTGCAAAGAGCTTCTAGATAGATATTCAATCTGTGATTTTACAGCAGCTCGCCAGGCCTGCCTTCATCGGTGCCTCTGGATGAGCAGGAGTCACCAATCTTTCAGGCATTAGCATACTTAGCCATCAGCATCACCCAGAGACTCTTAACAAAGATACATAACACAACTTAACAAAAATGTCTGAAGTACTTGCAAAAACATGGGGTAGTTGCACAGAAATATCCATCTCTTTAAATTTTTTAGAAATACCCATCATTTTGTCAGAAATGCTTTACAAATGTTTTGCACTAGTTTGCTCTATTCTCATCAGTTAATTATTTCCTATACCTAAATTTGAAAACTAACGTTTTCTTTTCTAGTTTTAATCCTATTGTGCTTTTTCCTGTCACAAAGGATTTTTTTTCCATATTTTCTCATATGCTTTTCAGATAAATTACAAGTGTCAATAATGCTTTTAAAAAATGGACTTTGGATTTTATTTTGTGTCATGCTGCACTAAAGATCAATCCAGGCTTGCCAAATTAAAAATTTAGTAACATAAAATTCATACATAAAAGTTTGGGGGAGTTCTCGTGGTCTAGTGGCAAGAAGCTGTACTGCAATCTCGAAGACACATGGTTCTATCCACTAGACAGACACTCCGCTGGAGAAAGAGGGGCAATCTCCTCCTGTGCCAGTCGGCACAAGAAAAAAAGAAAAGAAAAAAAAAAAAATAAAATTCATACAT